CTGGCAAGAAATAGAATGCAGGATTAATGTATTGGTATTTTGAGTAACTGCAGTATTTTGGTTCAGTGCAGGTTTTTATTTATTATTTGATTAAGTCATTTTAATTATTTAAGTTATAAAGCAAACACAAAAGACTTGCACTACTAAATAAAAACAGAGGTTTTGAAAAATGTATATAAACTGCTGTTTGTATTGGTGATGTGTGACAAAATTTTGCGGAAACAAAAAGTGCATTTGCAAAAATATTGACCTTTTTTGTGGCGCTTGAACTTTGTAGTGGCCCTCCTTTAAGGCGACAGTACTCCCAGTGGCCCCATGCCAGTTTGAGTTTGAGACCCCTGCTCTACTATCTCTGTCCCTTCAGCATCCAGGGCTGCAGGCCATGGAATCCCCAATTTGGAAGCAACCCGCTTGCACTCTTCGTACAAGTTGCTGCCCACAGGGGAGGCAGTGTCAGATGCACTGGGCGGTCTGGAGTGCTGGACAGGAAATGTGGAGTCATCCTCCACATCTTCCATCTTGTCCTTGCCGAGAAGGTCAGAGCTGGCGTCGCCCTCTGCCTCATTGATGACCAGTTCCACCCCAAGGAGGTCCTCGAAAAGTGGAGGCATATATGGGGACTCATCCTCCATCATGTCCGCCCAGCTGCGTGCACCTCGGTGCTAGTTGTAGCCTGTGGTGTGGCTGCTGGCAGGCATGGATCCTGATTGTTGGCCACTGCCACTCTCAGTCTCTGTTCCAAAATCTTTTCTGGCATCGATGTGCAATGAGGACACGTGTGGGGGTCAGCCAGGGATGCTTGGGCATGTTTAGTGACCATGCAGGCTATGCACATCGGATGAGGGTTCCTGCCTGAGATAGATGCACTGTGGGATGCAGCCTCTTTAGAATTCGGTTCCGATCCTTTGGCAGTAGGGGTGCAGAAATGTAAAATTTTCTCTTATCGATTACTCTTCCCATTGTTAAAGCGAGTACTCGAGTAATCATTTTGTAGTTCTTTTTTTTTTCTGTGATTCTTTTCCCCCACGGGAGGCCCCGCCTCCAACTATGACGCGGTGTATCGATTGATTCATTTGAATCTTCAGGATTTTAATAATTGTTAGTAATAGGCCTTTGTATTAACGTTCAAATTAGGAAAATTCTTACTTCAACAGCAAACCTCAAGTAAAAATTCACACAGACGTATCTTATGACCGTTTTAACACTTTATTATAATTAGAGCAGTGAGTGTGGCGAGCGGACGTGCAGACATCAATGCGCACTCAACGCACGTTGAAGCTGTTTTGACAGCAACATTCTGTTCACAAAGACAACAGTCTGCAGTGTAGAGCACACTTTACTCTGGTAAATGAAGTTACAATAGAACAGGTGTTTAAGTGTCTGTCTGTTTCATCTTTCTCCTCTGTGCGTAATGACACACTCACTCAATCTCGCTCCTCCGTCCGCTATGAGCTATTTCTCCCTATAAGGTTGTTCCGTTTTGTAGTTATTAAAAGAATAATCATCTAAAATTCCAAAATATAGGAAAACTAGTTATGCTACTCTGTCCTAGTAATGCTAGCGACCAGAGTTTAGCCCAAGCTAGCGTTAAACGAGAAGCGGGGGGAGTATGCTCTTCGCAACACGTTAGCAGACACGGTAACCCAATTAGCCAAGAACACAAGGCTATCTTGAATAAATGTAGGTTCGCCATAGCCTCTTACTAAACCGTGTAGCCTGAGAACAGTTCGCCTTGAAGTGGAGACTGTTCCGAGACAGACCTACTTGAACAGTGCCTGGCTAGCTTATATTAGCTGAGGGAGCGCCCCTAATTTTCTCACGGGAAGAGAGCGAGAATGATTTGAGGTGGGTGGGTCGACTGTGATAGTATGAGGGGGCGTGCCACGAGCACAGTTCAACCTGTCTGTCACTGACAGACGTGGTGTCATTGGAGCTTCCAGATTGGTCAGGCCAAAGTGATTCCCATAGTGAAACACCGAACAAAGTTAGAAAAAGAACAGTTGAGCCCGTCCTGCTACATTGATTACCTGTTTTATGATTATCTTGGATACACTTCCCTGACTGAACACACAATCGATACTGGTCAGGCAAAGCCGATAAATCTCCCTCTGTATCGCACCTCTCCTGCAAAAAACAACTCATAGGAAAACAGGTAGAGTAAATGTTGCAAGACGGAATCATTGAGCCGTCCAGTTTTGACAGTTATACATGACAGTGTCCCTTGGTTCTGTGTGGACTCTAGAGGTTTGAACCAGGTCACATAAAAATACTCTAACCCCCTACCTTCTGTTGACGTGTCACTTGATTTTGAAGAGGGCAGTTCATCACAACAGTGGACTTAGCTCGTGTATATTGGCAAGTGGCGGTTGCAGAGGAATCCAGATCAAAGACACATTTCAGGGACTAATAAACAGTCTACTTGTGGTCTCATTTACAAAACATGTGCTGTGTACCTTGACAATATTGTTATTGCTTATCCCCAATCAAACAGCACCTGGCTAATCAAAAGCGGTGCTCAAATCCAACTACGGCCCCACAGATCTCCTACCAGATTATCCTGTCATGGCAGTCTGGATCTTTGCGCCCTGCCCCATGTTGCTGGTGGATCATTAACATGCAAATCAAATACAGCTGGATGACTCAGTAACAGGTCAGCTGTTTAAATTTTTTAAATTAAAGTGACCCTCATCAGTATGTTGTTTATGACAGCCTGCTGTACTACAAAGACCCAAAAGTGAAATGTTGTTTGCATCCATTCAAAGGACCTCAAACTCTATGCCCCCACATTGAGCCGTGGCACCTTGCTAAGCTATAACCACAACCACCCCACTGCAGGTCCTCTTGATGGTTCAAAGACGCTTGCAATGCTGGGGTTCAGGTTTTTTCTGGCACAAATGGCAGCAGATGTAAAGCCATCTGTCAGCTCACCATGCTGTGCCAGAGAAAACCGGCTGGTGTCATGGTTCCCATCTTGCCTTAGAAGCCCTGGGAATACACAGGAGTGGATTTTATTGGACCAATGCTTCGCACTTCATCTGGAAATGCCTATTTGCTGGTCTTTGTTGACTTTTTTTTTTTTTAAATGTATTGAGGTGTGTGCAGTCAGGGAAGCAACAGCACAAGTAGCAGCTTCAAAGTTTTTCAGTGAGGTGTTTTCCAGACATGGTGCCCCGACATACCTTATCTCTGACAGAGGTATGCCTTTTGTGAGTCAGTTGTTTGAACATATTGTTTCAACCCTTGGAGCTGTGCACAGGTTCACCACAGTGTACCACCCTCAAACAAACGCACAGAACGTGGGAATAGTGCTTATGTCAGTGACAAGCAGACATCATTGGAAAAGTTTCTTCCCCAGATCTCGAACAGCCCCCCACAAGAGCATTGCACTCAGCCCTTGAGTGATGCTGTATGGTCGAGCTGGACACCCCACTCGACCTCATAACACAACCTCCCTGTGAAGGCGCATTACAATTCCTTGCAGCCGCAACATTTAAAGCGAGTCGCGCATCCAACCATTCACAAAAATTAACGATGACTGTAAAGGGACGCAGATCAGGACATTTTTAGCCACATGATGTTTTATTCAACATATTTCATGCACTTAAGAATGCTTTGTACAGTTGTACATTTGTATGCTTAAAAAATATGTATATCTTGCATAAAGGTAACAATTAATTTCATACAATCACACTTATTTTGGATTAATGTTGATTTATGAGTGGACAGGAAGGTGATGGTTTCACTTTTGTTACTCGTAGCCTGGTAGCCTATATGCCTTTTATTTAAATTCCTTGTGGTAATTAGGATTATTTCACTGGTAAGAAGTCACAGGACAAAGTTTTTTAGATGCCCTTTTAGAAGTCCATTTTTGGAACATTGTAGTTTCACCACAGCAGACCCACGTCATTAACCTCCGCCGGGCTGTCACATTTAATCACGTCACCTAGTGTAAATGCGGTTGGATTGTCAGAGCAACGCAATCGCCTTTCCCTAAATCCTTTATGAATTATCCTAACATCTTTCCTTAACCTCATGACGTTTTCCCCGGGGTTAGTGGATAGGGGATAAGAGGGGATAGGAGGGACAAATCGGATGCACTCTATGTGTTGTGTTTCTTGTTTCTACTTAAAAGGTTAAAAAAACAAGTGTCCTGTTTCCTGTTTTAAGTTGATATTGTGCTTTAGATTCCCAGTTGAAATATGACAATGATTTTTTGCTGTTAAATGATATATTATTGTTTTAGTGGGAATTTTGTTCTTTGGCCTCCCTTTATGACTAAAATAGTTTGCTCGAATTAGGGCGGGGCCAAGAAAAGCATAAAAGTAGACTCAGCCAGAGTCTGGGGGGAACACTTTTTGTTTGTGGCAGGTTGGTGAGACTGTGTTTTCTTTCAGTTTGTTAAGTTTAGTTGTGTTTCATTAATCTACCCGGGACCGTTCTTTGGTGCTAATTTGAAATGGCATTTTCAAATTAGCTTTATCATTTGAATTCTGATCACTAGTCACTTCCATAGATGTTATCCTAGATTTTGGAGTTCTAGTTGATAATTATTTTAATAACTGCAGAACAACCTCTGAAAGTGAGTGAGCTCATACAGATACGCGAGAGTGTGCCATTATGCACAGAGGTGGAGAGACTTGAAACTTTGAGCACATAGGTGGAGAGATATATAACAGAAACTTCAATCGATAATCAGTTCTAATCTAATAATGTAAATCAGTTTAGCACAGAATAGTGAGATCTGCCCTACAGACTGTAGTCTCTGGTAACAGACTGATGCTGTCCAAACAGCTCCAACATGTAATAAGTGTACACTGATGTCCGTGTGTCCGCTTGTCACCCTAACTGCTCTAATTATCATAAACTATAAACTGGTCATAGGACACGTCACAGTGAACTTCGGCTGTGAGGTTTGCTGTCTGTTGAAGTGCAAAATGTTCTGTATTAAGTATGTATGTAGAAGGTATGTAAGTATTAATAAAATATTTAAGTGTTTATAATCCAGAGTAATCAAATTCATTTATTAAATATGAATTTCCGCAGCACATATTATGACCTTATCATATAGAGTGACATTTCTCAACTGAAAACAACCAAAATTATACTCAGAGAGAGCGTGACAAAGATAGACGCATGTTGTGATTAAGTGTCATCAACCAGTTCCTAGCCATCCGTTTACCATTCAGGTACTACAGCTCCATATCAGTTTCAACATTTACCTCTGCAACCTTATACCCAGCGTTTTTCTCATCAGCCAGCTCCAACCTTGCCCCACAAATAGGAGCTCCACTTAATCCCAGTTTCTCTTTACCAGTGGCTCCTGGACAGCCACTTATGAGAAGCTGTTGGTCTTGAACTGTAAAGAACCATCATAGTGCTTCAAGTAGTGCAAGACAAATTTGCATGTTCAGAGAAGTTCCTATGAAAATATTATATTTAGTGTGCTGTCTAGACATAACCCATATCTTCTTCCCCATAATGACACCAGTGAAAGGTGCGGTTTCAGTGATATGACAGGTCTGTAACATGTCAAACTATGAAATAGGGCTTTATACATGTTGGTAACAACCTTTGTCAGAATGAAAATATCAGTTTTGAAGGCAAACAAGCAATGTAAAAATGTAATGTTTGAAAGTGTCTTCTATGTCGATTGTGGTTGGCAGGTGTATCGCTAAGCATTTCTGAATCAAATCAACTAGAACAAAAAGGCAAAATACACAAAAAAAATAAAGCTATGATGTTTTCACCCCTTATGTGACATTTGAATTATGTTCAGTGTAATTTCATCAAGGAAGTTCTTCATCAGGGTCTTGCAGAATGTTTTGGCAAATAAAATAAAAATTCCTTAGACAGTTTATACCTGTAAAGCAACACTCCTCCTTGACATATAACCAGTTTTACTGACAAAGGAAAAATTAAATGAACAAAAACATAAAAAGAAGCAAAAAACCCCAAAAATACACACAAACCCTGAACAATACTATTACCCTCGCTGTATGTGCAATAGTAAAGGGGAAAATAAACTTAATCGTAATTACCAAAGCTATGGTTACAATTATTGGCGTTTTCAGCAATTATTTAAGAGTTTATAGAAAAAGTGTCATTATGTCAAAGTGTCAAAAGTGTCAGACTACTGCAAAGGACCATAATTAAGTGTTTGGTTGATTTCCCTTCCTTAATTGTTCAAATATTACATTGCATTTTAAAAGGGGGTAACCTGTTTCTAAAATGATAAAGAGTTGGCCAACACATCTTTTTTTTTTTTTTTTTTACATTTTTTGATGCAAAAACATAATTTGAAACATACTTGAAATTCCCCCTGCAGTATGTTAAAACCAAGACATACAAAATTTGAGCTTTTTTTGTTTTTAAACCAAAAGAAAGTCCTCCTCTAAATTAATTAGATTTCAATTCACAAAATATGTTAATAGAGCACCCTAAAAAACCCCTAGAAAACCCCTAATATTATTGACAGAGACACGACTTAATAAATGGATTGGCAACAGCGGCAAGGAAAACATATTTTATAGGCTGAGACCTCATGCAGAACCAGATGTGTGTGTGTGAAAGGCAAGTTCCTAAAAATATCAGTTCCCTAATAGAAGTTCATGGAAAAATCTATGGCTTACTTAAGTTAATTTAGATAGGAAACATACACAAGTTCTGCATAACCACATTAGTACTGCAGCCTCACACAAGTGTTTGACCTCTACTCTGAGTGTACTCTTACAACACTCTACTTTTGCCAAATAATAGATCATCCTTTTAATATCTTGTTTTTTAAATAAACTTAAAGTTTATCTCATAACAACTTCAAACTAATGTTTCTTAAATCGTGGAAATACATCTTTATTTTAAAACATCACAACTTGAACTTATATTCTGACTTTGCGTTGTCTTTTCATGTCATCTTTTTATTTCCTTGGAAAAAATATAGCTGTATTTATGTCACAGACTTTTTTCTAATAATCTTTAAGCCTGTTATTCTTTTTTATCTTACACTAATTGTTGGGCAGTGCACATGTGAAGGGAGTGTTTAAAACTCGTAGGCACATTACTAGTAGTATCAAGTTTTAATTTTAATTTACATTGACGATAGTAATTTACTTTTTAGCATTTTGATGGCGAGATTTAAATCGTATGTGAATTATATTTACAGTAAGGACTAAACATTTAAAGTGTCTCTGCTGGTGTTATGGTTCAATGTGTGACCCTGTTATCTGACGACTTGACTGAGCCATATGCCTCTGAGGTTGTTGACAAAACAGTATTTGCGAATGTTACTTTGTTTGGTTTTCATTAAATACATATCATACATATCTGATAAGTATATTTTGATTGATAATAAAAAATAATCAAAGAGGCATTCAAGAGAACTTTTTTCATGCAGCCAAAGGCCGCCTGTTACCCATGTTACTCTTTAAACCGTAACACCTGACAGCAATATGTGATGGTACGAGACAAGCTTATCAAAAGTGAAAGTTCTAGTTATGAGAAAGATAAATTCCCCTGTTTAAATGAGCTGGATATACCATACATTCTCAGAACTAAGTGAGTTGTTAAACCAGTAGATGTTCCGTGATGCTCTGCTGATGTTGAATTGTGGAGTAAATGGGTGAGTTATCTTAACTCCAACGCCCCCCTATTTTTGGAACAACTCCTTAAAAAGGAACAAAAAAAACTTTTTAGTAGCTAAATAAATTCTTAGTGCAATAAAGATATAATCTGCTCTTATATACAACAAGAAACCCCCAAGCCATTCATTAACAGAGAGATTAGAGTTAAAAAAAATACAACGTTGGAAGGAAGTCTCTGATTACTATTTCTTTCTACGTGTAACGTAAGGATTTTTCATTTACATTTTATCATCTGATTTTGTGCATTTTTGTTATCCTTATGAATGCATAGCCAATTTCTGACGTCGTTACATGTCAAGACTTTTCTTGTACAGCTACGAGGACATTTGACAGCAGGACATCTCAAGATAGTTTACCCATGATCAGACCATAATGAAATTCCTTATACAACTGCTTATTTCACTAGCATGTATAATTAAAAAGTCTGATGCCAATCCAGTTTTGAATTGAAGTAACACTCCCACGGCCATTTTTTTGCAAGAAGGTAAAAGGCATTCTTGAAGTATCCCAATTCAAATACCTTTGACATCTTTTGATTTGACTCAGTGGGACAAAGACAACTCAAATATTGCCCATAAGCTTTGTCAGAAACTTTAAAACTGGAAGAGTTGATTTCAGAATCTTGCAGAAACCCCTATATCCCTCTCTGATCCATCTTGGTCTTCAGAGTGCTTCTTGTCAGAGATCACATCAGTCTCCACTTGTGTTTGCACCTGCACAGATAAGTCCGGTGCAACATAACTTGCAGTGTGTGAGTTTTCCTCAGATGCAGGTGGAGATAACGGTTGGTTGATTATTAAGCTTGGTGTGGTACTCCCCTCCCTTGTTGTCTTCTTGGCTTGTTCGATGGAGTTTGTTTCACTAAAGGAGTCCAAGCCTGCCCCTGAGCGCTGGAATAACCTCTGACCTGTGAATGAAAAGTTCCCCAAGTGCATTAGATTTAATTGACAATACATTTTCAGAATTCTTTGTGCGTCACTATGAAAAAGAAAGAAAATGCTTGGAGAATACAGAGAATTTTTTTTTCTTTTTTAATGCTCCCTTAATAAGAGAACTTTCAACAGCTTTTCAAGAACTATAGGCACCAGAGAGGAAAATATTCTTGTTTTAAGAAGAGTCAAGAAAGAACAGGTGATTGCTCTGCTTTGTAAATAATTGGATTCTCTCTAGAACATGTGTTGTGAGCTCTGATCAAACCATGTGTCCAAAAGATAAAGGTTAATATTCTGTACTTAATTAAATAACAATGGCATTATACAGATTTTACTTTGCATTAAGGACTTGGGTAACACTTTATAATATGGTACACAAATTCTGCATTATTAATGGGCGACGAATGAGGAACTAACTATTAGTTCAAATGTATTTAACAGGTAGAAAAGGTACACAGATTTTTTGCATAGTTACTAGGGAATGAATGAGGGACTAACTACTAGTTAAAAATTGGTTAATGGGGGAGGACTTCCAGTCGGAACACTGTAACGATGGCTGCGTAGAGAAGGACCTTGAGAAAGAACCAGAGTCATTGGAAAATACTCCCTTTCCAACTGAGAAAACAATCCGAACTAAAAGCATAAAGAGAGGGGGTAAGGCATCTACCAAGACATCGAGCAGTAAACGCCAGCAGAAAGTAGAAATGGTGAAGGAGACGAGTCACAACAACGCAATTAACTAGCAGCTAACAAGCAGCAAGGGGGATAAACAACACTAGCCTCGGATGGAAATATGGCCGACTTGGAGCTGATTCTGCGAGAACTCATAGGGTTTCGGCAAGAAATAAAAGCACAATTAGAGACAATCAAAGAACAAATTTTGAAGGCGAACACCAGAATGGATGAAGCAGAGGGGCAAATCGAGAAAACAGAGGAGAGGATCTAAAACGCGGAAGAAGTTGTGACAGACATGCTGAAGCTACACAGGAAGATAGAGGACCAGCTAACTGACTTTAAACCCTTTTCACACATACGGAAATCTGCTGAAAAACTCAGGAGATTACCTGGAGGGGCTGTATATGTGAACGTGAACAGACGTTTCACCTGCCAGACCCCTAGTATTTTTTCTGCAGCAAATCCGAGTGAGCTGATGTGAGAACGCAACTGCATATTCTCCCGGAGAATTCCGGACTGGACCCAAGTGATGTTTATAGACTGTGACCGCTGCACGGTGTAAAGAGTGTCTGCACACGACCACTATGATCTCTGTGCACATAATTTTCTGTTCGCCAGTATGTTGTTCTCCGCTCTTTTGTTGATGTCATTCCGTTGGACTACACATATATTGATATAGCATTGATATAAAGGCAAATATTGTCATTATAGCGTCGTGTAGGGGACTCTGTTGCTTAGTCCGCTACTTCAGCATTGTTTTTTTACGTCACATCTTACCTCCCGTCTGGGAGGTCTGAGGAGTATATGTGAACAGCCAGGTTGGGAGAATCTCTGTAGCAGTCCTCCCGTAATTATCTAGATACTATCCGGAGTACATTTGTGAAAATGGCTTTAATGGCTTTTAGAGTCGCTCCAGACGCGAGAATGTGAGAATGTATGGGGAGCAGAGAAAGAATCACCAACGATGGTGACATTCGTGCAAAATCTGCTTTGAGAGGGTCTTGGTCTATCCAAGGACGTGCCCGATTTGCAGATAGAAAGAGCACACTGTTCAGAGGGGGCCACTGCTGCCAGAAGCACTCCCGAGAAGCCCACAGCGTGCCCTCTGGCAAGTAATGGGAGCAGAAAAATGTTTGACGCCGAGAATGTCTGGTATGATCCGCTCCAAAAAACAGCTGCGTCACAGCCTTCCGCTTTCTCAGTGAGATTGAGTATGCAAATATTATTACGCCTGCCCCTGTTCTCCAGGTCGTCCACTCTGTCTTTGAGAGATTGGACCTCTTTCTCCGACTTCACAATGTGCTTGGTGGTGTCTTTAATGTTGACCTCATTTGCCCTCCATTTCCTCAACTTGGTCAGCTAGTGTCGACAGCGATGTTTCAATTTTAGAAAGTGAGGACTGAATGGAAGTTGTTTTGGTGTCTATTTGTCTTGAAAGTTCTTCCTTACTTTCCCGAATGGCCGGCATAACTGCGGCCTTCTTTAGGGGAGCCGGTCGCCATTTTGGTTGCAAGCGCAGGTCTGGTTGTCAGCAATGAAGTATCCTTAATACCCTTGAAGTTGTACTGTGCTATGTACCATGTCAAAGAGGAAATTATCTCAGAGGTTTTAACAAATGTGGTTTTGAGAAATATATTAGAAAATATAGGCGTTTGTTGAGATGCACCCACAGGCCTCACACTTGCATAACCTTCCTTGTCGGCTACAAACCGGAAGTCCCAAAGAATGAATACTTTGATGTACAAAATAGTAATTGTGGATGTGTGGAGAGAGGTGAATTCAAATGGACGAGATTATACACACTATTCGTCTGCTCACAAAGTTTATTCATGGATAGACTATTTCTTTAGATTTAAAAAAGACCTTTAAAGATTACATAAACGTGGGATGGGTCCCAGCACTCTTTCCGACCATAGTCCTGTCTACATGTTGATAATAGGACTAGGTCTTCTCTCTTGAGGTTGAACTCTAACATTTTAAATAACCCAGTTTATTAGAGGCAGAAAAATAGCTATCTCCTCCTATGAAAAGAAAATTAGACAATGAAAACTCAGAGACTTAGAGGATGAACTGAAGAAATGCCAAAAAGAACATTCAGAAACCCTCAAGAATGACACCAAATCCAAAATAATACAATTAAAAAAGAAATAGATGAAATAAATATGCATGAAATACAAAAAAAGCTACTTATTTTTTACAAAACAACAATATTATGAGACGGGGGAAATCACTGAAGCTCTTATCCTACAAAAACAACAAGCTGATAGAATTATACACAAAATAGGAAACCCTACAACAAATGTAATAGAAACCGGTCCCAAGATAATTCAACAATGCTTCGAAAAAATATTACGAAGCACTATACTCACTATCACATATGAACGATGGGCACAAGATTGATGCTTTAATATGTTCAATATACTTAGAGACGGTCACAAATTAACAAAATGATAAATTAATAAATATAACAAAATAAGTAATAATATCGGCAATTGGCACACTAAAGGGGTGGGGAATCCCCAGGGACAGATGGTTTCACCTCAGAATGGTACAAAACAATGCAAGACCAATTCGTTCTGACACTATTGAAAACGTTTAACTAGGTGCAAGAAAAGAAAACCATCCCCCCTTCATGGAGAGATGCAATGCAGTAATTTTCATCAAAATGGGTAGTTACTCAGAACTGAATCATCCTTAATTACCTACTTTCTTTGGAGACCAGTTTATATTGTCTTTCAACTGTCTTGCTCAAGGACACATCAGACACTAGTGATGTGAAAAGCAGTTCGCAATGTACTGAATCAGTAGAATCAGTTCAGTAAAGTGATTCGTTCAAAAGATTTGTTCACCGAATCGTTCAGTGCTTCACCGCAGCTCTGCCTGCGAATCAGAACTTAACAAGCTGAAACACGGCCGAACATTTAGTTCTGCTCGCGATCGTACTGAGAACGGCCGGTGGTGAATAATAAGCCAATGAGCTGAGAATTTAGTTGGATATAGTTACAGTTACAACCTACACTGTTACCTACAGTTACAGTTTGCAAACTGAAAGCTGCTAAAACAATCATATATATATTTCCCCGACCGTTCTGTTCAGTACGTTCAGTATACGAATCACTCACTGACTGAGCGGGAGAGAGAGACTCAGGGCGTGCTCAGGTGATAAACGGGCGGACTAAAGATAGAGAGAGAGAGAAAAAAGGGACGCGCAGTCAAGTCCGCCTCTGCACATCGGAGAACAACACAGAGAGCATAACGGCTACTTTACTGACTTTGCGACACAGCCAATGATAAATTAAAAATTAAAATAGACGCGCGGGCGAAACTTTGGATTGCTCCATAATGAAGGCTGTCAACGTTGTGTACCCGCGTGCTTGTGCATGAAGTGTACCGTGCTGAAGCACACCTCTCCGAAGTGTGCCAAAGCCAAGCAAGTGTACCGTGCCTGGGCACAGAGCATTCACACTGGCCAAACAAACTGAACTTTAGGGTTGAAGCGTGCTTGGCCACGGTACGGATGGCCAGTGTGACCGCGCCCTCACTGACTGATGCCGCGGGAGAGAGAGAATCAGGACTCCTGCAGTACTACAGTTCAGTGAACGTGCGAGACTGCGAGTTACCAACCCCACATACTGTACTGACTGAAACATGATCGAATTGAGACCGTTGTTAGTGGATGTTAAAACAGTCAGCTAAGGGAAATTAAGCTGATCTAATCGGGCTTATGTATGTCCTCATGCTCGTCTTTGTGAAGGCTAATGCCTTGGCTTTAAGATCATGTACATATGAGGAAACCAGATTTCTGCCCAAATGTAAATGTCCTAAATTTAAACAGATTTGTTTTCATCGTGTCCCCCACCGCAGGCAGTGGTATCTTTTTATGTTTGGCCACTCTGTCCCACTGATGGGGTGTGATGAAGAGGAAAAGTGATGTCAATACATGCCTTCTATTGTGAAACCATATGTTCTCATCAGAGAACATAGAGAACAAGTTGTGGGCGGGGGGCGCGAAAAGTTTTGGGGGAAAAGACGAATTCCAATTTCCAATCACTGCAGTTAGCGCAACCAGCAAAGCATGGCAAATATTGAGAGAGGACCTCCAGCAAAACGTAAAGCTGACAATAAATCTTCATCAAATAGCACATCAAAATCAAAGACAAGAAAGTATGACGAGTCATATCTCGCCCTTGGCTTCACCTGTACAACGGTGGGTAACGAAGAGAGACCACAGTGTGTGTTGTGCTTCGAAGTATTAGCATCTGACAGCATGAAGCCAAACAGGTTAAAACGGCATCTAGAAACAACCCATCCCGCACACACACAGAAGCCTGTTGAGTTCTTCAAAAAGAAACTTCTCAGCTGTCGTACACAGCAGAGCACCTTTACCAAAGCAGCCGTTTTGCCGTCAAATGCTCAACTGGCATCATATAAAGTGGCATATAGAGTTGCTAAGTGTAAAAAGCCACACACCATCGCTGAGGAATTAATACTACCCGCCATTGCTGATATGGTCTCTACTATGATTGATGAAGCAACAGCCAGTAAATTAAAAACTATCCCTCTGTCAGACAATACTATTGCAAGATGTATTTATGACATGTCAAAAGACATCGAGGAGCAGCTTAATGACAAGATACGGGACAAACGTTTTGCCCTGCAGGTAGATAAAAATACAGATATTTGACTATAAAGGATGTTATTGTCAGTATTTTTTGTATACACACACACACATATATATACATATATATATATATATATATATATATATATATATATATATATATATATACACATACACACAAAATGTATTCGGTAACGTGTGGGGGGGCCCAAAGCCATTTTTATGTTGAAAGGGGGGCCTGGCAAAAAATGTTTGGGAACCACTGAGTTAACCTATTTTCCGTCTTTGACTGAACTTTTTTAACAATGACAGAAAAATCTGAAGGCTGTCTGTAGTTTAGACAGATTAGAATCACCGGGGATCCACCACATGTTAAGCACCTGCAGTAGACTCCCAGTCCAGTTGGTGGTGAGTGTGCATAATTAATTACTTATTGTTTTGTCCTGTAGGCTATCTGAACTCATGTGATCGACTTTCTATGATCAAATTCTATAATAAATAGTTAATAAATAATAGGCAATGTCTCATTATCATAAAAAATGCAAAAGAAATGCAAATGACAGATCATTATAGATTATGACAGAAATTTTACGACCCTGTCCATCAAAATGACAGACAACAACAAAGACTAGCGCAACCTCTGGTTCTCATACATTTTAAGGACATTTTGAATAAACAGTTTTGAGTAAATCACACAGTCTGTGATGCAAAATATCACATTGACCCATGTATCCTGAATCCTTGAATTTATCTGTGTCCTTGATGATGCAATTCCAAATGGACAGCTTTAAGTATGGCTGTTCACACCTGGAATTAATATGCATCTTAAATGTGTTCTGGGTGACTACTTGTAATCGGATATTACTTTGCATTTCTATATGCAAATAAACATGTAGCCCTGACCATTTTCCTCACAATACAGTAATGAGGTTTGTCAGCGAGTGTCCACATTCAACACGCATCCAGGTTATAAATATTTGTTCCCTCACTGGGCTGCATTATGATAAACTTTGATGGTACTTTGATTCGGTCTATCAAATCCCACTCATGTAATTCCAAGCACATGGAGTTACAGTCTATGTGTTACAGTGGACTGTACTCTGAAATGTAATTTTCAATAAAGAACATTTCATTCCAAGAGTTATCTCACCCTCTTCCTTTGCTCCCAGCATAATTCAGTCATGAAATGTACTGTCAATGAATTGATCAATACAAGACACAGTTTGAATTTAATACATTTTGGGAATGAATGTATCCTGGGTGGTTTTACACTTGTCATCAATGCTGTCCACTTGTGCTCAGATAATTATTATGCATTACATTCCAATGTAAATAGCCTCCCAGACAATCCTACCTGGAAGTTTCTTTAATGAAGAATTGGCAGGGTCCTGCAGGGATGGCTTGCCTGTCTGGACTTTGGTGGAGTAAGTCATCTCAGTGGAGTCCAAGGAACCTGTTGACAGATACCACCCACATGCATATGTAATGCACAAATACTAGCAAATATTTACATACTCTGATACTCTTTTTACAATTTGAATAACAAACAAGAGCAGTCCAAAAAGCATTGTAGAAGCAAGTTAACCTGAAGGTAATTGGTTGCATCCAACTGGATGTTTCAGAGCAAAGCACTCAAACCTCAATGATACTGGGGAAAAAAGGCAGTGCAATATCTTTTCTGTCTTGAGTTTATATGGACAATGTCGACAATTCCCTATTAAATCATAACTTAAATATTTTTGACTTTATGTCCATTCGGCCTGCATGAATACTGAAAAACATTTGATTTGCATTAATATTGTTCAATATTGTGATGATAATATGAAATGCAGTAACTAAAATGATACGAAGAACACCTTTTGGCATTTATTTATAGTTATATGCAACATGCAGCATTTAAAAAAAATCAGAAAATCTTTGTTTCACCACTAGGTTGGCACCAGTTAATCTAAGAGTAACTGATGGCTAGCATGAGCTTAAATAAAATGTACACATGCTGAGTGAGAAAGCATTGCTATAAAATAATATAAATTACAGATTAAATGTGATATATTCAAACTTATTGCAATTTATTGTGCAGCCCTACCTCAAACTTCACATTTTTATTTGTAAATAATATTTCTATAGTTGAATATCCCCCTTTCAGCTCACCAGACAAGAATGGCATTTTTGCTATACAAACTTTATTTGTAAGAACAAAATAAAGTGACTTTGGAGCTGCCATAATTATGAAAAAATTGTTCTGACTTCTGAGTCACAAATAAATCCCAAATTGAAAAAGGTATTAACAGAAGATGTTTTAGTTTGAAAAAACAACAACTCCAACTTGGAACAGAATAATACTAATAGCATTTAGACTCTTATGTCTTTCAACGAAAATAACTGTAATCTGAAATAAAATCAATAAAACAATGAATTAATTCCCCCATCGACATACACCCCTCTGCTCTTCAAAAGTCCACACCAGCCTGCCCTACATCTTTCTGTTTCTCCCTAACTGTGTTTTTCTGGTGACTTACTAAAACAGCAGCAAAATCTCCCTAAAATATAACTTGATTCTTGGCCTACACCATGGCCTCCCCCTAGCTGGGTGTGTGGATGTGCATCTTCCGTTCTTGGATTTCTGAGCCCCAATCATTTCTTCAGGTAAGGCCAAGCCACCACTTATTTGAGCTGCTTGTTCCTTGGATCATTTTGTCCACTCCTCAATTATACCAGGAACATTCGTTGATGTTGAGATTGCTCCTTGCTGATTCCTTGAGGCCAACCGAAAGTCCTTCTCCAAAGCCTCCCCGAACTCCTCCCACACCTGGGTTTTTGCTTCCGCAACCACTGAAGCCACAGCCCTCCGATACCTGTCAGCTGCTTCTAGAGACCTCAGGGCTAACCAAGCCCAAAAGGCCTCCTTCTTCAGCCTGACGGCTTCCTTCACCACTGGTGTCCACCAGCGGGTTCTGAGGTTGCCGCCACGACAGGCACTGACGGTCTTCTGGCCGCAACTCCTAGCCGCAGTTTCCACAATGGAGGCTTTGAACATGGACCACTCGGACTCCATGTCCCTGTTAGTACGTATTTTCATGGATTCATTCATCTTGATAATTTTGTGGACATGTCTTTAAATTGTGTCAACCATCTCACAGTAATTCTACTTTTGGGTCTGTGAAGCTGTAACCTTATATGGGTGAAGCACCTAAGTAGTAGCAGATCTATAAATGGATAGGAGCCAACTATATGTTGTCAGCAACTGTTTGCTAGACAGAGAGTCTACATCTGTTACGTATACAAATCAGTGTCATGTCATCTTTATTGTTTTATAGTGATGTACCCAAATGGAAAGGAATTTTTGGGCTGTACCTTCAAGCAGAATATAAGCCACACTGTGTGATGAAGACTTTGCCATTTTGCCATTTTGCCCATGATGGCCACTTTGCCAATGATTGTCAATGATTGTGAGATCTTGGTCAGCATGGGTCAGCGATGGTCTGCACTTTGTCAGCCATGTGTGTTGTGTTTCTGTGTTGTCTGACCATGGCTGAATAAATCTAAGATGATCCACAGTCTGTTTCACGATTTCATAATTGTCCATCTCATACAGAAATAACCCCCACCTAACAGTCCCCAACCTTCCACGGGATGAGGGAGAAGTTCTTCTGGAGGTGGGAGTTGAAGACCCCACAGACACGGCCCTCTGCCAGACGTTCCCAGTTCACCCGCACTACACATTTGGGTTTGCCAGGTCTGTCCAGCAGCCTTCTCTGCCATCTGATCCAACTCACCACCAGGTAGTGATCAGTTGACAGCTCTGCTCCTCTCTTTATCTGAGTGTCCAAAACATACGGCCGCAGATCTGACGAAACAACTACAAAGTCGATCATCGATCTTTGGCCTAGGGTGTTCTGGTACCAGGTACACTTATGAACATTCCTATACTTGAACATGGTGTTTGTTATGGCCAATCCATTACTAGTGTCACAGCTCCAGACTAGACTGATCCCTTCTGCCATTCCCCCAGTGTCTCCCACTCAAGTGATTACCTGATGTGTCTCATCTGTATCTTGTTGTCTCCACCTCCCTTCAGTATATAGTCTCTGTGTTTCCCTCCCTCACACTCAAAGTCTAAGCTTCCATGTTTTTGACACCCCTCAACTTCAGTTAATCCTTGGTCACTCCTGGCTGAAACTTGACAACCCTCACATTAATTGGGCCACAGGTCAGATCATTTCCTGGGGGCAAGATTGTAAACTTAACTGTTTTTCCCCTGTGACGGCTACAACGGTTAGCGTTACCACTACTGCTACCAGTGATCCTGATCTTACTCAAGTTCCTCCCTGTGTCTATGATTTGAAGGAGGTCTTCAGCAAGTCTCGGGCCAAATCTCTTCCTCCACATAGACCTTACGACTGGGTCATTGACCTGCTCTCTGGGACATCACCTCCGAGAGAATGACTCTACTCTTTATCCGGTTCTTAAACTAAAGCCATGACTGAATACATGGAGGAGTCTTTGGCCGCAGGAATCATCTGACCCTCCTCATCCCCTGCTGGCGCTGGGTTTTCTTTGTGGAAAAGAAGGACAACTCACTGCGACCTTGCATTGATTACAGGGGATTGAATGACATCACCATCTGTTATTTCCACTGCTTTTGAACAGTTAAATGGTGCTAAGATTTTCTCTAAATTGGACTTACGCAATGCCTATCACCTTTTTCGTATAAGGGAGGGGGATGAGTGGAAAACTGCCTTTAACACTTCTTCTGGACACTATGAATATTTGGGTTATACCTTTCGGGCTCACCAATGCCCCTGCTGTTTTTCAGACTCTAGTAAATGATGTTCCCAGAGATATGCTTAACCAGTTTGTGTTTGTGTACATGGACGACATTTAGATTTTTTCCCCTGGATGAGATAACCCTGCAACGTTTTCTGGGTTTTGCTTATTTCTATAGGAAGTTTATTCATAACTTTAGTACCTCTCCCCTCCTTGCACTAACTCTCCCCAAACACAGTTCGTCTGGTGTACTTATGCAGTCAGCCTGTCAGACACTAAAAGAACGTTTCACCTCTGCTCCTATCCTCATGTTGCCTGATCCAAGTTGACAGTTTGTGGTGGAGGTGGATGTTGGTACGGGAGCCGTGCTGTCTCAGAGGGCAGCGACTGATGGTAAACTTCACCCCTGGGCCTTCCTGTCACAGAAGTTGTCGGCAGCAGAGAAGAACTATGATGTGGGTAATCAGATACTGCTAGCAGTTAAGGTTGCCCTCGAGGAATGGAGACATTGGCTAGAGGAAACTGAGCAACCATTTATTGTGTGGACAGATCATAAGAACCTAGAGTATCTGAGGACATCTAAGCTGCTCAACTCAAGGCAGGCAAGGTGGACTTTGTTTTTTAAAGATTAATTTTTGGGCATTTTGTGCCTTTAATGGAGAGACAGGACAGTTGCTATAGTTGGACATCAGGGAGAGAGAGTGGGGAATGACATGCAGGAAACATGTCACATCTCACATCTAGATGGCGCCAAGGACAGTCACCCCAGTGTGTTGTTTTGTCTGTTTTTGTGCGTTAACTCCGTTTTATGTCAAGATACACAGAGCTCTTTCACCAGAGAAGAGCTTATTAATATGGGCGACAACTCCACCGGACTTATTCCTCACTTTTCTGATGGAATCCATGGAATTATTGGATATTCTGATCAAAGATGCCCTCACCTTTGTCAGTGCTGTGAGACGACGAAGAAGAGGTAAATGGGCCAGCTCGCTAGTGTGTCTCCGCCAGAGCAGACTACGCACAGCTTTACCAGGCATCTTTCTCTTCAACGTGCGCTCACTGCAACAAACTGGACGAATTTCAGCTACTCGTGGGAGGAAACAGAGACTTTTATACATCCTGTGTTTCATGGAGACGTGTGTAACACATATAGGATAATGGACTACAGACTATTACATTTTGAATTATTATACCCTAATGATTCTGCTTAAGAAATGGTGTGAAGTGGAGTATTTCTATTGTCTATTTTATATTAGTTTTAATCAGATGTTCGTTCTCGTGTTTTCACCCAATGGGGACGTTTGAAAAAACTGGGTGACTGTCATTTCAGCCAATCAGAAGCCACCAACGACAATTAGTCCTGCCCACCTGTTCAGATTTGGGGGTAGCAGGGTGCTGTGTCCGTTATCTGTGTACAGAGGTCATAACGTCGGAGCTCAGCTGATTGAAGTGAATTAAACGAGGGAACTAGGAGACACATTTGAGGCAGATTCTGCTGAGGATAACAGGTATTGCCGGAGTAGTCGCTTGTTGAAGTGATTGCTCGTGGGTTGGTTCAAATCGGTAACTGTGTTGACATGTTATCCCCCGATTGTTAGCGCTAGCTAAAAATGCAAATTTGCTAACGTGGAGATTTGATAGTGTTTTAATAACGTACTGTTGCAGGGAGGAAGAAACCCCGTGGCATTAATGGGAGCTGCCATATTTTGTGTCTGCTCAGTTCACTCAGAGATCGGTGAGCATGATCATATTTTTTTCAATGAGGGAATTCTCTGTATTTTGCACTTTATGAAGTGACTGATTATTCTGTTCTGAATTGTTTACATACATATGAAAATATTGTTTACTTATAAGGTTTTCTCAGGGTTTTGAAGTTTGTTCTGCACAAAAAGTTATTTTAATGGCAGCTAAATGTTTAAATCCATGATTCAAATTGTTAAATGTATACAGAAAAATTTAACAAGAGATGTTTACAGAAATTTCATGATGTTAAATATAATTAAAAAAGAAAAATGATTAATATTTGCATATTAATCATACATATTCCTCTTGTCTTTTGACAGGTCAGGTTTTTTTTGTTTGTTGGATTGTTCTGGTAACCCGTCCAGTGAAATAGATGGCGAGCCTTCCCAACTGGATCTGAGGGAGAGACACCTTGTGGTCACTTTTTTAAAGATTTATTTTGGGCTTTTCGTGCCTTTAATGCAGAGAGAGGACAGTGGACAGAGTCGGAAGCCAGGGAGAGAGAGTGGGGAACGACATGCGGAAAGGGGCCACGGGTGGAAGTGAACCTGGGCCTACCATCGAGATGAGAGTCTCAACATATGGGATGCGCGCCCTAACCACTGCGCCACCAGCGCGCCCCCTGCTTCACTTTTTGGTGTAGTAGGCCCAGTTTTCGCTGACACCTTCACACACACAGCCCTACATACAATTCCCCTTTTTCCCAACCACTTATACACACACTCTGAATACCCCAGACTTACTTTTTTTTTTCCTTTAACATACCGGGAACTTTTGAACTGACACTTTTTGACTTTTCTTACATCTAAGACTATTCAAGGACGATCATCCCTGTCCCCAAAAAGCCAAGGACCACAGGACTTAATGACTTCAGACCCGTCGCCCTGACCTCTGTAGTGATGAAGTCTTTTGAGCGACTTGTGCTCTCCCACCTCAAAGACATCACAGACCCTCTCCTTGGACCCCCTGCAGTTCGCCTACAGAGCCAACAGGTCTGTAGATGATGCTGTCAACCTGGCCCTCCACCTCATCCTCAAGCATCTGGACTCAGCAGGAACCTACGCCAGGATCCTGTTTGTGGATTTCAGTTCTGCTTTCAATACAATAATCCCGGCTCTACTCCAGGACAAGCTCTCCCAACTGAACGTGCCTGAGTCCACCTGAGATGGATCACAGACTTCCTGTCTGACAGGAGACAGCAGATGAAGCTGGGGAAAAATGTCTCGGACAGCAGGACTATCAGCACTGGCTCCCCTCAAGGCTCCGTTCTTTCTCCTCTGCTCTTCTCCCGGTACTCCAACAGCTGTACCTCCAGTCATCAGTCTGTCAAGCTCCTCAAGTTTGCAGACGACACCAACCTCATTGGACTCATCTCTGGTGGGGATGAGTCTGCCTACAGGTGGGAGGCTGACCATCTGGTGACCTGGTGCGGTGAAATCAATCTAGAGCTTAACGCTCTGAAGACAGTGGAGATGTTTGTGGACTTTAGGAAAAATGCAGCCACCGCCAGCCCCATCACCATCAATCCACTGTGTCTCCTGTGGAGTCTTTCCGCTTCCTGGGGACCATCATCACCCAGGACCTCAAGTGGGAGCTGAACATCAGCTCCCTCATCAAGACAGGACAGCAGAGGATATACTTCCTGCGGCAGCTGAAGAAGTTTAACCTGCCAAAGACCATGATGGTTCACTTCTACACTGCTATCATTGAGTCCATCCTCTCCTCCTCCATTGAAATCTGGTACACTGCAGCCTCAGCAAAGGACAAGTGCAGGCTGCAGTGCATCATCCGCTCTGCAGAGAAGGTGATTGGCTGCAATCTACCATCTCTCCACGACCTGTACACCTCCAGGACCCTGAGGCGTGCAGGTAAGATTGTAGCCGACCCCTCTCACACATGGACTGTTTGAGACGCCCCCCTCTGGTAAGAGGCTGTGGTCCATCAAGACCAAAACCTCTCGCCACAAGAACAGTTTCTTCCCTTCTGCTGTCAGCCTGATGAACAATGTCCCTGCCCTCCCCCCTCCTCCCTCCTCCCACATAACCCAGACTCTCCTCAGCCCCACAGTCGCCAGCTACATTGCACCTTTTGTACAGTTTGTGTTTTTTACATTTTATCTTAAATTTTTTTAATTCTATTTTATTCTGCTTGGAGGATTACAGCCTCCATACATGGGGTACGCGTACTAACCAGCGCGCTAGCCAATGACCCCTGTTTCCTTCCAGGGGGTCAGTGTGGACATTGTGGAGGACTACAAGTATTGGGGAGAGTACTTGGATTATAAACTGGAATGGTCAAAGAACACCAAGGCCATCTACAAGAAGGGCCTGAGCTGCCTCTACTTCCTGTGGAGGTTGAGGTCCATCAACGATGCTGTTGGGTGTTTTATGAGTGTGTGATGGCCAGTGCTAGTGAGGAGGATACTGTCAAAGTTTCACGTCATGTTGGACATATGTTGGCCATACAATTCTTTAACTCTTCCCTTTGAGAGAGTCATACACTTTACACATTTCCTGGACTTCTTTAATTACACTCAAAACTGGAAAGTTCTCCATTGTTCAATATTACTACAACTGTGCAATCAGTCTGTAAACTGGTCAATCATTTTCACTGTCTGTATTACTCCATGCAATATCTACACAGTTCAACACTGCTCATATATATTTGTAAATATTGTAAATATTTTCATATATTCAATTTATTGTGCTTGTATATAGCTTACTATTTATTTGGATACCCTGTGCTTTGGTACTTAGTTCTGCTTATTCTACTTATATTTAAAGTGTATTCTATATATATATTTCTATATTTCCTACTTTTATAATTTATATTGTGTTTGAAAGTTAATGTTGTCACCAAAAGTATTTTTCTATAATATTCCAGAACTTCCTTGAGGCCAACCCAACCTGGTACATGTCTGCTGCTTTTGGTGATTTTACAGTAAATCTCAAATTTGACTTAAATTTTCTGGCTGGTCTGAAACCAAAATGCATGTCTGGTCCATAGACTGTAAATAAACATGGCTGAAACCTGAGCTACTGAAAGGGGCTTCAGAGGCCCGATGATTAAGCTGGAGCAGGTTTTTGCATTTCCACATTAGCTTAGTTTTTCAACACTGGAGGTTGGTGCTTTGTGTAGCCTTTTTTAATTAATGTGTAAATCAAATATGTTTTGTCACCATTCAGTAACATACCTGCAGCCAGATTGAAGGTCCTGCCTTTCACGGAGCTTTGAACCGGAGCAAACCAGTTTAACATTGAACCAACCAAAGGAAGCTGTCTCATCATGCCCTATATTAAAAGGAGACAAATTAAGTCAAAAACAGATTGGACATTCATGCACTCTCACCAACACTCCACAACACAATTAAGCATGGGTGAGATAGGTGTTGATGGTTGGGAGGGCGGGTTAAGCAATGAGAGCAAAGGAATATGCAGAGCCTGATTTATACTTTAGTGTTGAATTGGCAATGCATTACCTGTGTTGCTTGACATTCACCCAAAGCAATTGTTGTTGGTTCGCTGGCTTAAATTGCTATCATGTCACAGACCCTATGGTGGACACAGTGCTTGAAGCCAGTTATGAGGCAAGCTTCAAAAGCCTGTTCATTTTAAACTGAAGCTAAAACTTAAACGGTGATTGCTGTGTAATATGTATCTACCTTGATCCTGAATGAAAAGGCTTAACTCTGGATCAATTAGCAAATGAAATCATCTTTGTTAGTTCAAAAGTATAAAATTGAATAAACTTTAAAAACACACACACAAGCACCTACCTCTTCCATGAGTTTCTCCTCATTGGCCTTTAGCAGCTGCAGCTCTGCCTCAATGATGCCCTTCCTCACCACCTCTGTCATGTTCTCCAACAGCTACAAAGGAAGGAATCAATTATTTTAAGAAATTGAGACAGAGACTACATGAACACGAAGATCGTAGCGTTCAAGGATAAGATGAAAAAGGTGACTGAACAAAGGTGGAAGATCGCAGAGGGAAAGGAATGCTACAGGAGGAAGCTGGAGAGCCAACTAGAACAACATGTGGGTGGTGTGGAGTGGTATGAGGTTACAATGGTACAATTCACTTTGCAGACGCTTTTATCCAAAGCGACGTACATCAGAGAGTAAGTAAATTTCCCGAGGTAAGACGTGACGTAAAAAACACAACGCGGAAGTAGCGGCCGAAGCAACAGAGTCCGCTACACAACACTATAATGACAATATTTGCCTTTATATCAATCAATCAATCAATTGAATAGCGTTCTATTTGTATAGCGTCAACTCATAACAAGTGTTATCTTGAGACACTTTACAAAAAGCAGGTAAAAGACCTTACTCTTTGTCTTTTAACATTACAAAAGAGCAGCTAAAAAGACCATACTCATTGTTATGTTACAAAAAGCAGATATTGCTATAAAAAAAAAAAAAATGCTATATTACAAAGACCCGGCCTATCCATAATGAGCACTTTAGCAAAGCAGCAAAAGTTACAGTGGTAAGAAAAAACTGCCTCATTAAAAGGCAGAAATCTTCGGATCCCTTGGAAAGGGATAGGGGGAGATATGGGATAAAATACAGGAAGAGAGATAGGGAGCAACAATCCGGTGGGGAGAGGGGGGTTGTTCTAGCAGGCCGTCAACCAAAGATCTCGAGGAGCCTAAGAGAGCTCAAGAGCTCCCAGGAAAGTAGGTGGTTAGTGACTGAGATTTACAGATAGATACATGCAGTAATATGATGTACTGTATATGCACAGTGAGAGAGAGAGACAGAGAAGCTCAAGGTGCCAGTTCACCCGGTAGTCTAAGCCTATAGCAGCATAACTAGGAGCTGGTCTACACCAGCACCAGCCCTAACTATAAGATTTATCAAAAAGGAAAGTTTTAAATCTATTTCTTAAAAATACAGACTGTGTCTGCCTCCCGGACCCCGGCTGGAAGATGATTCCAGAGAAGAGGAGCCTGATAACTGAAGGCTTCACCTCCCATAATACATTTAGAGACTGTAGGTACCACTAGCAGGCCTGCATTCTGGGACCGTAATGTTCTCGAAGGGTAGTACGGCACTAGTAGCTCATTAAGATAAGATGTTGCCTGGCCATTTAGAGCTTTGTAAGTGAGAAGAAGGATCTTGAATTCTATTCTAGATTTTATAGGGAGCCAGTGCAGAGAAGCCAACACAGGAGTAATGTGGTCCCTTCTCCTAGTTCTAGTCAATACACGAGCTGCAGCGTTCTGACAAAAGAGAATTAGAATAATCCAACCTGGAGGTAACAAATGCATGAACTAGTTTTTCTGCATCATTTTGCAACAGAATATGCCTGATCTTAGATATATTATAAAGGTGAAAATAGGCTGTTTTTGAAATTTGCCTGATGTGATGCATGAGTTAAAGGACATATCTTGATCAAATATAATTCCTAGATTCCTAACAGTGGTGCTAGATGCCAGGCTGATGTCATTAAGGACATTGATCTCATAAGAAAAAGTCTCTCTGAGGTCTTTCGGGCCTAGCACAATAACTTCAGCCTTGTCTGAGTTAAGTAGCAAAAAAATTCTGGTCATCCAGGTCCTAACCTCCTTAAGGCACGTTTCTAGCTTACATAACTGACTGGTGCAAGTATAAAGCTGAGTATCATCTGCATAACAATGAAACTATATGGAGTGTTTCCTCATAATATTTCCCAGAGGAAGCATATATAATGTAAAGAGAATCGGTGCAAGCACTGAACCTTGTGGCACTCCATGGCTAACTTTGGTGTGCAGAGAGGACTTATCATTAACATGTACAAACTGAGATCGATCTGATAAGTAGGATTCAAACCAACTTAAAGCAGTCCCTGTAATTCCAAGTAAATGTTCTTGTCTGTGTAATAGGATTTGATGGTCAATAGTGTCAAAAGCAGCACTAAGATCCAACAAGACGAGCACAGAGAGAAGTCCCCTGTCTGAAGCTAGAAGTAGATCGTTTGTAACTTTAACTAGTGCAGTCTCAGTGCTCTAAATCCTGACTGAAACTCCTCAAATAAACTGTTGTCATGGAGAAAGTCACATGTCAATGCTATGTGTAGTCCAGTGGAATGACAGCATCCACAAAAGAGCAGAGAGCAACATACTGACGAACAGAAAACATAATGCAGCCATTTAATTAAGCGCACGGAGATCCTAGTGGTCGCGTGCAGACACTTTATGCACCGTGCAGCAGTCACTGTATATAAACGTCACTCTCCCTCTATTAGCTTGAGGTGAGTTCTCCGGAGTATATGCTGCTGCGTTCTCACATTAGCTCACTCGGACTTTCTGCGGGAAAAATACTAGGGGTCTGGCCGGAGAGACTCTGGGTAAAATCTACGCGAAAAACTTGGCTGTTTGCGTCAACATATGGCCTAAAGCCACTCCGGGTAGCCTAATCTCCGGAGTGTTTCAGGAGATTTCCGTATATGTGAAAAGAGTTCTGGAGAAAGCAGGCAGCCCCGTTAGAATTAACTTCATAAAGTTCTCCAGTGCCTTTTACAACAAACGACCTGCCCTGCTTAGGGAAAAAAATACTGGAAATACAGGTGGATGCTCCCCTCGTTGCCTTGATTACAAAGTACTTCACAGGCCGCTTGCAGTATGTGAGACAGAACTGCGTCTCAAAAACCACTGTGAGCAGCACAATGGCACCACAAGGGACAGTGCTGTTCAAATTCTACACGAGACTTCAGATTCCACTCCCCTACAGACAAATAGTTTTATGATGTGATTAAACTCAAATGAGAATATGGATCAATTAGTGCAAAAAACTACAGCAAAACATTCGAGGATCAGTCGACAATAGGCAAAATCTGACAAATCAGGTTTGACCATATAAATCCTTTGTTGTGGACAGGCCTACTAGTAACACTGTTGCGATCCACAAAAAGAGTCTGAACCACCTGCATTTCCTCAGGAGACTCAGGTGTATGCAGAACAATGCTGCAGATGTTCTATCACTCCGTTGTAACATGTGTGATATTATACTTTGTGGTTTAAAACATTTTAAGACGCTAAGAAGGTTGTCAAGAAAGCTGGTTCTGTCCTGGGAAGGGATCTTGAATCTGTAGGGGAAGTGTCTGAAAGGAGGATGCTGATAGAACTGGTCAGGAAATCATCGGCCACAACTTCCACCCCCTGCACGCCACTCTGTAGTCCTAACAGAGCACCATCACCTGTAAACTGAGACCACTGAGGAGCCCCATAAAAAGTCACAGGAAGTATTTTCCACCTGTGACCATCAAACAGTTAAACTCTTTCTGCAGCAGGAGTAAATTGAGAATAACTTTAAGTTCTTGTGCACTTGTGCAATACTACTTTAGATTTTTTACTGGACCATATTATGTTTATTATTATGTTCAATGACTAATTTCACATTATGTGCAATATAGTTTTTCATTACACATGCAATATTACTTATTTTCAATTCATGTCCAATATTACTTTTCCACATAATCATAGTTTAGTACTGTATTACAGGTGTGGTCGCTGCCTGGAGCTTGCATGATTTGAGCCTGGGTCTGTGTCTGAACTCTCAATACCACAGTCAATAATCCATATACTGCCACACTACACTTTCTTACTTGACTTATTCCTCAAATGATCCTTTTTTAAGGCACAACTATCTCTATTCATTTTATACTAAATAATACACTTTGTGTTTTGGATTTAACTAATATTTGATGTTTTCGTGTAACTCAGTCTCCTTCATGATAAATAAAGTTCTATCTTATCTTATATAAAATTACAATGAATTGTGTTATTCTTATAAACATTTTTCTATGCATTCTTGAACCAATTTTCAACCAAACAACAAAAAAACTAGAATATTTCAATTGTATTTTTGTTATCAATTCTTATTACATTCTTGGTTATTTTGATAAATTAATATATGTAAACAAAAAAATCTGGCACATCTCATTAGTTTGGGATCTTTTCTGTGTGGAAACAGAATTATGCGTAATTTTAACAATTCAAAAAAAAGTTATTGTTTAAATCTTCACTCATAAGTTGTGGTTTTTGCCACCCATTTGACAGTTCTTTGTTAAATTCTTTAATAAATTCAAATACATTTCTTGCATGCATTTGCGAAATGTTGGCTTCTTATTTTCTAAAGCAGGTAAGCCATGACACAAAAGTCACTTTTATTTAAGTGAATGTATTCAAATAAATTTGACTTAAGTGATTTGTGTGCTCCAGTAATTTATTTGGATCCTGTCTGAGAGAAGGAGTCCACTGAAATATTTTTAATGCCTAATGTCCTTTTCTAAGAGCACTAACCTCCATTTGTGGAGTGGCTGAATCTAAGACTTTCCTTCGACCATCATAATCATTGTTATCAATGCACTCTTTCTCTCTAGCGACAAACCTGCTTAACAGTTTTGTTTATTTTAGCTACCTACTCTTAGCCTAGCTTAGCAGTTAGCTTTATTTACAATGGCTTCTTTTTCTGTCTCTCCCTCTCCTGCTCTACGTGTCAGATGTTAAGTTACTCCTCGTCCTCCTTTAGTGATAATGATACATGTAAGAAATGTAGTTTATTTTTAGCTTTGGAGGCGAGGGTGTCTGAGTTAGAGAGATGGCTCCGCACCATTGAGTCAGAGTCATCGTATGCAGCAGTAGTTAGCCAGCCACCTGTAGCCGATGCGGGCCGACATAGCTTGGCCTCCCCCCGGTAGCTCCCGAGCTGCCAGGAGGCGGTGGGTGGGTTACTGTCTGAGGGAAGCATAGTCGAAAATCGAAGCACACGGTTCCCCACCAACCACTTCACGTTTCAAACTAATTTTCCCCACTCAGCGACACACCCGCTGAGAATAAAACTCTGATTATTGGAGACTCCAACTGTCGCGGTGGTGTCCAGCA